CGTACCATCGGTCGAACCCAGCGACTAGGTGCGTGACATTTTTGGTATCAGAGCCTGGTTCCTAAGCATCGCTATCACTCGTGGATGGCCGCTACGGCAACTAGACGTCAATAATGCGTTTCTTCAAGGCCATCTCACCGAGGATGTCTATATGATGCAACCACCGGGCTTCGTAGATCAAGACCGTCCCACTCACGTGTGCAAACTGCATAAGGCTCTATACGGGCTCAAGCAAGCGCCACGTGCTTGGTACCATGAGCTCCGTAGCTACCTCTTATCCGCGAAGAACACTCTCAGTCTTCATGCCTACTCGGACGCGGATTGGGGAGGCAATCGCGACGACTTCACTTCCACCGGAGCACACATTGTCTACCTCGGCTCCCATCCCATCTCTTGGTCGTCAAAGAAGCAACGAAGTGCTGCTCGATCCTCGACGGAATCCGAATACAAGTCCGTAGCTTCCACGGCGTCCGAAGTTCGTTGGTTATCCTCTCTCCTCTCAGAACTTGGGGTTGACGTTCCAAAACCCCCGGTTATATACTGTGATAATGTCGGTGCCACGTACTTATGTGCTAATCCGATCTTTCACTCACGCATGAAGCACGTGGCGATTGACTACCATTTCATTCGGGGACTTGTCCAAGATGGACATCTTCGGGTCACTCATGTCTCCTCACATGATCAACTTGCTGATGCCCTCACCAAAGCACTTCCTCGGGCCCGGTTCGATCTTCTTCGTGTCAAGATTGGTCTCGCACACGAGCCACATCTTGCGGGGGCGTAATGGAAAGATATACTATTGTAAATATTCTATCGTATCACTTCCAGATTTTATGTTCATTAGTTACCTTGATTGTAGCTAAATCATAGCAACCCTACGTCTATATATTTTGTAATCTCTACACTTGGAATAATAAGAAATATTATTTCCCACTATCGTTTAGACAATTCTCTTCTACTAAGAGGTCGTGTGTTCGAAACCCTGGTATGAAAACTTTTCTTGAGTCGGTCAGCGTTACGAGGTTGGTTTACCTGTTCTGCGTAGTTTGTCGGCTACTGCGCAGGGCGGTGGATTTTTTCAGGTGCGCGATGATGTCTGATGCCGTTCTCGTCCGGCCCATAGGCTGAGAGGCGTTGCGGTGTTCAGTGTCCGATCCGAAAGGTTGTAGGATAGGGGTTTTCCATCGTAAAAAGAAAATAGAAACGCTGATGATAGAGTTAACGTTTTATGTTTATATTGTGTATACGATTTGTCCACGTGGCAACTTTTGGCCGTGGGACTAGACCGATATTACCATCTAACATCAAAACATATTTTCCGTTCGGAAACCAACGGGCGACGCTGATTATAGAGTTAAGGTTTTATGTTTATAGTGTGTGATGTGATTCAACTATCAAGGATTGAATAATAGTCCAATATTTTCTTAGATGAGTTTTGGACCGTTATTCTCTAACCCAAAACATTGAACCGGGTTGACAATTCTAATAAACGTACTTTGAATCCGAATTCATGTCACGGGGAAAATTCATTTATTACCCCTAAAATCACGTTTAAGTCACGAAGTTTCCACCAAGACTCTCACCACATGCCCGTCAACAGTGTATATATATATACATATATATATATATATAATATTGTTATGATTACCAATTATAATCAAAATGGAAATTAGCAAAACTTGTATTTCTAATTAAGAAACCGAAAGATACCCAAAAAAACCGTGATCGAGCAATTGTAGTTCTGTTTCTAGAATGTGGTTGGGATAATATTAATTTGTCCTAGAAATCTCATATTCGGAGATGAAACATACAACTTAATTGTAGTAAGGATTTATTTCGTTTAAGGGTGAATGTAGTTAGATCGAAAGTATTGTTAATCAATCTAAATACCCAAAAACCGAAGCATAAATATTTCCTTATCTCTAATAGTTTCAGTGTTACTAATTGTAAAAATTTGCGGAATGATGTATTTATTCATAATCAGAATAACATATAAATAGATGAGAGTCTTACATTGAATAAGTAAACTAAATAAAATAATAAATATTTCTAAATATTTATTTTCCGGATTTGATAAGATTGATATATCTCATAATATTCTTCAAGATCCGGTATATCTCAACACTAATTGTATGGGATAATAATAATAATAATAATAATAATAATAATAATAATAATAATAATAATAATAATAATAATAATAATAATAATAATAATAATAATAATAATAATAATAATAATAATAATAATAATAATCGCACCAAACTACACGTAAGAAATTTATATTCCAATGGTAGAACCGACACGCGCAAGTGTTGCTTGACTTTGCACTTGCGAGGAAGCATAACAGAAAGAGGGTATCAGTGCTATATATATAGCTTAGTTTATTACACGTCTATTGCCTCAAAAACCTTACAAACTTTACAAGACCGTTCCTTTTCTTCTTCTTTGTTTTTTTAATATAGATATGGAGCTCGGTTTCTTCTCTTGTTCCACAACCCTAACCCTAATTCTTGCCCTACTCATCGCCGGTTCCACTTTCACAGGTCTCTCTCTCTCTCTCTTGTAATGAAAAACGTTACATCTAAGGCTTTTAATTACATGGTCAAATTAATATTCATTTAACATGTGTTTTTTTATATATATAATGGTATTCTCACACATTGCCCGAATCTATCAGACGTTATTGTTCATATCCAATACATTTGAAAGATCGCCAAGGGGTTGAATGGCTAGAAGTTTTGGAGTTTTTAAAATTCAAATTTGTTTTTAAAAAAATGACAATCAAGATTTTGTAAATCTAGTTTTGTTAAAAACTTAAAAATCTGGAGAAAAAATCAACTAAAAAACCAAAAAATAATAAATTTTCTGGATTTATAAATACTACAAAAACCAAAAACTAAAACTAAAACTCAAAAAAAAAACTATCATCATTCATATATTTAATATGTCATACGGTATATGCTGTGTGTGTGCGCGTGTGTATATATATATAATGCAATGTAATTTATAACAGATGCACAAGTTGGAGTATGTTATGGAAGGAATGGGGAAAGCCTCCCATCCGCGACAGAGACAGTGGAGCTGTTCAAGCAAAAAAACATAAGAAGGATGAGACTCTACAGTCCCGACCGCGACGTCCTCGACGCCTTACGAGGCTCCGACATCGAGCTCATGTTAGATCTCCCCAATCCCGACCTCCAACGCGTGGCCTCCAGCCAATCCGAGGCCGACACATGGGTCAGGGACAACGTCGTCAACTACGCCGACAACGTCAAGTTCCGGTACATCTCTGTGGGGAACGAGGTGAAAATCACCGATTCGTACGCTCAGTTCCTCGGTCCGGCCCTCGAAAACATCGATAGAGCAGTTTCCGGGGCTGGACTCGGCGGAAGGATCAAAGTCTCGACGGCCATCGACACCGGAGTTCTCGCAGAGTCGTCGCCTCCTTCGAGAGGATCGTTCAAAGGGGAAGTAATGGTGCTGATGGATCCGATCATACGTTTCTTGGTGAACAAGCAATCGCCTCTTCTCGTAAACCTCTACCCTTACTTCAGCATCCTCTACAACGGTCAAATCCCGTTGGAATTCGCCCTTTTCGAGGCTTCTCCAGGGTTCGTATCCGATCCTCCGAACTCGTACCAAAACCTCTTCGACGCCATACTCGACGCTGTGTATTCTGCGCTCGAGAAATCGGGCGGAGGATCGTTGGAAATCGTCGTCTCGGAGACTGGATGGCCGACGGGAGGAGGAGGACCATCGAGCGTGGAGAATGCGAGGAAATACAATAACAATCTGATGCAAAATGTGAAAAACGGGACACCGAAGAGGCCAGGGAGGGAAATAGAGACTTATATATTCGCAATGTATGACGAGAACAAGAAGGATCCCGAGTACGAGAAGTTCTGGGGATTGTTTCTTCCCGACAAGCAACCTAAGTATGACGTGAACTTCAACTGAAACATACGATGAAAACAGATTATAATATATCATACATACATATGTGTACGTATACGTGTGTAGCTATATACGGATGCACGTAACGTTATGATTGGAATAAATAATGCAAGGAATGTAACAGCAATGATTCAAATAGATATAGATTTATATAGCCTGTGTTTGTGTACGATGGAATAAAAAAGACTTTATACGAGATAATAATATCATTAAGTGTTAATACATAGTATTTTTGTTAATGTAACTCGCAGTTCTTATATATATTGATAATTCGGAAGGGCCTCCCCAAATGAAAGACTCAAACCCGTGTTAGAAATGAACTCTATACCATTTCTTATCGATTGAGTCACCCAATCTTAGATATGAATCTTATATATTCTTCATATAGTTTATATCATTCGTGTTTTTATTTTTCTCACGTTTTTATGTATATATGATCATTTCGTTTATCAAAATATATATTATAGTTTCTTATTCCAAATATGATATCAATATGTAAATTTGACATATATAACACCAATCATCAAGTTAACTAATCTTCTTTCTCCCTTGCATGATTCCCATCTTATATATACAAAAGATTTATCGACCATGAAATCTAGATTTTAATTTTATCATCATATATACACACACAAACACACATATATATACAATTCTTCAATTTTGTAAAAAAAAAAATCTAAACCGCAATATCCTAATCCGTATTAGGAGAGGATATTCACATGCAAATAACATCTTATAGTTTTTTTTATTTTTCTTGATTAGTGGAATTAGAAAATAAAATATATTATTTACATTTGTGTAGATTCTACTAATAACCGAAATTCTCCACGTCAAAATGTCCATACATATATGAGAGGCGGGGAAGGGAAGTCACAGACGTCCAAGTGAATGTGTACCTAACGACTCAAATTAATTTTTTTATTTTTATTTTTTGTCACTTGACTTGTTCATAGACCCAACATATTAACAGTCATCATCGGAAAAAGTCATCAAGACAACACACGTATTTGTCCGAACCCTAACTCGATCGTAGAAATTTCTCCGGCTTTGAAAAGTATCATCACCATTAACGGTGACGCATCCAATTCGATTCTAAAAAAGATCAATTTATGTATTTCGTTACGGTTACACATTCATGATTCAATGACGTGTGCCTAACGGCTTGATAGTACGAAGAATATAATCCCAAATTGTCCTTGTTTCTAGTCTACACTATTAAATGGACTCTACATAATTATAATTATTATGGTTAGGGTGACCATTTTAATCAAAATAGTCCAAGTTGTCGAACCGAATCAAATCGAATAAAAAATAACCGTAATTGAACCGGATTCAATTGAACGATTATGATTTTTTTTAAATTCGAGAAAATGGAAATCGAATCGAGTTTTTTTTTTATTGAAAATCGAAAAATTTATTTGGAAAAAACGAGTTTTTTACCAATAAAACTGAATTGAATCAAACCAAAGTTGATATAAAAATCGAATGGTTATAATTTTTTTCTATAACCAAAATAATCGAACCGAAAAATAGTCGAACCGAATTCGAACTCGGAATGGGCACCCTAATTATGACATAAATTGCCAGACCAAGACTTTTCCAAAACGATACGATCAAGAAAATCTATCAAAACAAACAAATAAATGATGTTTTCATTGGAGAAAACTGATCGTGGACGACTTTTGCTCCGTGTGAGAAATTTCTAAATTTCTGGCTGTTTTCACCGTCTCGTAGCTTCGACTCGGCCTATAAATTGGCAACTCAGATCATCGTTACCATCACACCGTCCGTAACTTTATACACTCCCGTCTCTGCATTCCAATGGCCGAATCGAAATCACCACGAAAGCCGAGTTTCTTGGCCCCCACGTCACTGCTACTTCTCGGCCTCCTCATTGCTTGCTTCGACACTGCAGGTACTCGATAGTTACTAAACATGGTGTCGAACGGGCCTGGGCTGGCCCAAACCCGCACTCAGCCTGAGGGTTGTGGGTTATGGTTGGGGCCGGTCCCACATTTTCGGGTTTATAGAGTCAAACTTGAAGTCCGACTCTATAGAATTCGGTTTCAGGTTCGAGATGGATCGGGCCGAGCCAACCGATTAATAACTTGTGTCTGCATTGATAAATTTTTATTGCATTTATTTTTTTTAAATTAGATCGGGGTTTTCATATCGGTCCGAAACCCGATTTAAGCTCGATCCAACCAAAAGCTCGAATTTTTCCGGGTCTATAATTTTAGGCTCGAAGCCTGATATTTTTCGGGTGAGCTCGAACCGGGCTTCAAGTTTTGGGCCAAAATTGATATCCTATACTTGAGCCACACGCTTTCCATTCCAAACCCACTATTCATATGCCGAAGCTTATTCAGCATGTAAACTATGTACTAATTGAATGACGTTTCGAAAAACACGTAGCGGGACAGATCGGAGTATGCTATGGGAGACTGGGAAATAACCTGCCGAGGCCGGCCGACGTCGTGGCGCTTTACAGGCAACGGAACATACGGCGGATGAGACTCTACAGTCCCGACCAGGACGCCCTCTCCGCTCTCCGTGGCTCAAACATCGAGGTCATGCTCGGTCTCCCCAACAGCGATCTCCAACGTGTCGCCTCCAGCCAATCGGAGGCCGACACGTGGGTCAGAAACAACGTCAGAAACTATGCCAACGACGTCAGGTTCCGGTACATCGCGGTCGGAAACGAGGTGATCATACGCGTCTTCCTTATACATCAGTAGCTCGTTCATATATACGTGTATATTTGTCGGATGACATGATAACATGTATTGAATCAGGATGGTTTCGTATATTTAGTTAGAAGTGAAAAAATACATGCATTTATATGATATATATTTTTTTAAAATTTTATGGTTTTTCGGGGTGATACTAGTTTTTTTTTTATAAAAAAAATTCAGAATGGTGAATTTGTACGTAACTGCAGGTGAAACCCTCGGAGCCAGCCGCAAGGTTTCTGGTGCAGGCCATGCAGAACATAGACAGGGCGGTTTCCGGCCTCGGGATAAAGGTCTCGACCGCCATAGACACCGGAGCCATAGGAGAATCATTTCCGCCGTCGAGAGGAACATTCAGGCCAGAGTACAGCAGCTTCCTCGACCCGGTGATACGTTTCTTGACGAGCAAGCAATCGCCTCTTCTCCTCAATCTCTACCCTTACTTCAGCTACATCGGCAACACCCGAGACATCCGGCTCGACTACGCCCTCTTCACAGCCCCTTCGGCCGTCGTCTCTGACCCGCCGAGGTCCTACCAGAACCTGTTCGACGCCATCCTGGACTCCGTCTACGCGGCGCTGGAGAAATCGGGGGGAGGATCGCTGGAGATCGTTGTGTCGGAGAGCGGATGGCCGACGGCAGGAGGGACGGCGACGAGCGTTGAGAACGCGAGGACGTACGTGAACAACTTGATTCAGCACGTGAAGAATGGGAGTCCCAAGAGGCCGGGAAGAGCCATCGAGACCTACGTGTTCGCCATGTTTGACGAGAATCAGAAGAGTCCTGAGTTCGAGAAGTTCTGGGGACTGTTCCTTCCCAACCAACAACCTAAGTATGGCGTCAACTTCAACTGAATGAACCTAAGACGAGAGAGATTCGGAAAAAAAAAAAAACCTAATGATTTGGGCTTATTTCGTTTCATGGAATAAAACAGGTGAGAGAGAGAAAAAAGTGTAGTTGTTGTAATGATTTACTGAATAATGAGTCCAATATTAAATATATAAATAAATAAAATGGCACACACGTAATTATGTAATAATTTTGGGGTTTGCCTTTGATTTCCAATGATTTACATGTTTTCGTGCGAAAAATGGCATAAAATCGCATATTAATATACAAATTTATTAAAAAAAATTAAATAAATTTAAAATTCTAATTTATGTTTAACTTTTTTAAAACAATTTAAAAAAACTGCCATAATAGTTTTTTAGAACCTTTAAGACAATTAATAAATTTTAAAATTTTATATTCCATATATTTATATGGATTTTTTTTACAAATCTGTGTATTAATATACGATTTTTCCTTTACAAAGGATAAATTCTCATCTTTTTTTCATGTGAATAAAATCTAATATTAAGGTGACTAAACAGATTAATTAACGGACTGTACAAAAGATATTCCCCTGTTCATGAGTTGCTACCTAAACACATCAGTGAACAAAACTACATTGCTAATTAAGTTGTACAAGGAACAAAACAAAATGCTCTGACTGTTGCCCGAAAGCCTTGGAACTATCATCCCCTTAACAGAAAACAGAGGCAATAGAGAGAGATTGCCTCAGCAGATTCATCATGTTTCAGGTTCATTTGTACCACCCAGCGAGGAAGTGCCTCAACAGGAAGCAGAAGGCACATGCTAGAGCCTGTGTTTTTTTTTTTTTAAAGAACAACAAGACACAACTGATTCAGAAGGGCAATGGCATTACAGCCAAAAAAAAGACAGAAACATGTTTATGGAAATACCTGGAAAAGAAGGAGATGGATGCATAGACGCTTTTCTGATTTCCTACCGAATACCCTCAAGTAGACGTTCACGAGGGTTCCGTCCTTTGTCCCCGTTAGCAGTCCGGCAGCAGGATCAAACCTGGATCATTCCGACAGGAGTGATAAGTTTTCAAAAGGGTATTTGTAAAGATATCAAGTTAGCTTACCTTGGGAGACGATGGCGAGGACATTTCACAATGCCAGCAAGCTGAAGAGTTGAATGAGTATGTTAAAGACGCTTCCGTGCACTGAATTTTCTGAATGATTTGAAAGGAACATATCATATTATGACGGATTTGAGATTATAAGATCAAACCTGAGGAAGCGACAGTAGAAAGTTCAACACCTGTGGAAGAAAGAATATCAGGAGCGTCTCGCTGCAAAAGCGAATTTCCCGAAGAAAGTGCGCAGAGTCAGTTGCAGAACGACCGAGATCTTAATTGTCAAGTAAAAAGAGTATATATTGGGGTGCCAAAATCATCTGCATCATCAGAAAAAGAATAATAAAGCGCTTGGAAATATACCTGAAATGGCCCAGAATGCCAACAACTGCCATAGTCATTCCGGCAAAGACAGTGTATGTGTCTCCAACAAATACAGCGGATGGGTACCTGAAGAGATGAATAGTAGATGAACGAGGTACGAGAAATCATTACGTCGGTGAGTAAAATGCTTCAAGAAAAAGAGATGTTAGCAATTACCAATTGAAAGCAAGCAATGCCAAAGAAGTGGCCATCAGTGGCTGAGTAAGATAGATAGAGAAGGCATGGGCCTGCTGATACTCTGTATCAGCAGATGCTCCAATTTGCATAACGTTGTGTATCAGGATCTACAAATAACCGAGATGCATCAAGTTTTGACCCAATGGAAAGTGGGAAGAAAAGAATTCAAAGGCGATATAAGAGTAGAACTTACAGCAGCGGCAATAACAACAGTTTGACCGACTTCAAGGCCATTCAAGCCAGCGTGAATGTTAATAGAATTAGTACAGAAGACAGCCAGTAGCCCCATATATAACTTGTATATCCATCCTGCCACATCAAGATATCATTTGATCAAATATCTACAGTATCAGAAACGTGGTCTCAAAGGGGAAAAAATGACAATGCTTGCTCATGATTATATTACACGAATCTGTACCTAAATCAAGCACTTCCAAGCCAACGTATGAAACTAGAGGCTTTGGTATAACAATTGTTGTGTGACCAGCATACGCCATCAGAAGTGGAAGAGCAGCAAAAGATGGAAGGACGAGTTTTCTGTAGTTCAGATTCAACAAAGGAATATTAAGAAAAAACCAGGCATGAAGTTCATCGGGTAAGTAGGGTAACTGGACTTACACTCTCCAAGGTACATCAAGGACATCATCCACAAATCCAAGCAAAATCATGAGGCAAATAGATGCTAGTGCTGCATTATACTCCACAAGCCACTGCACAGAATTATCAGCCAATGATGATCGATGCTTAGGAAAGTTGTCAGCCTAATAAAACAAAGATCTATCTAGCAACATTATACTACGTTACAGATGAACATGAAACATACATGAACAAGAAGAAACAGAAAAAGGAAAAGAGAGGGGAAATGTGAAGTGGGTGAGTGCTATCGCTGAACCGTTCAGCCTAAAGAAAGTAAACAATTGCATATCAAAGCTCTTGAGAAAAGCACACTTACATTCGAATCTTCTGTGAAATTGAAGTACTGAAATATTATTGCCACGATCAAGAAGACGATACCGACAACAATGCCCAATGACTCAGGCCTGCAAAGAATGAAGAAGAAATAGGAATGAAGTAAATTTGGATTTGCCACTTCAAAGACTAAACAAGATGTGCCTACCGTACAACATTACAAGTCTCAGACATGACAGATGTCTAATACCAAAGATCATAACTTTGAGAACGAAATAAACTCAATGAACACAAACACGCATTTCACTCTCCAGGGGAAATCAAATCCAGAAATTGACACTACCCTGAAGGAAAAACCCTTAAATCTAAGAGATCGAATCGAAAAAACTCACACTTTGTTTTCGCCCTGAGGCGTGCCCCTCTTGTTGATATCAAAACCAAACATGTTTCTCCTGAGGACGTATCTGGCAGCCACAGGTATCATCCTGAGTGTGACGAAGAACCCCGCCAAGCTTAGCCCGCCGTTGATGAGGATAGATCGCCTGAGCTCGTTATCGACCTTGTAATGGAAACAGAGAAGGTAGAGATAGGGCAAGCACAAGAGGGTAGAGATCACGAGAATCACGCCCGATTTCGGCGGAGAGAGTCGAAAATCCTCTCCGGAAGCAGCGTTCTTCCCGGGTTTCTGATCCGCCGCCGGAGAGGGTTTCTCCGAATCGGTCGCGGAGGAAGCTCTCTTACGAGCTGCCATGGCAATCTCGATCGCTCCTCGTAGATTTGCTTCCAAAGTCTGTATGATTCGCTGAAAGTGCAGAATTCAAAGTCCTCTCCTTTTGTGGCGTCACATGGACCAACAGATCTCTGCCACTTGGGTTCTGAACTACACCTGTCTGCCACGTAGGATTTTACGTCTGGTGTTTGAAAAATCCGTTCATTCATGTATAACGACCTAATCTTTTATCAAGTATCAATTCACAAGTACATTCCACAACATCTCGAAAAAAAAAGACTGTACCTTTTCTTTATTTGGAATCTGGATAAAAAAAAAAAGTTTCGATCTTTAAACGATTCACACATTGTTCTGTCCCACAAAACGAGCTGCAATGAGAAAACTTTTGTTCACCTATTTCACGGACAAGAAAGCCTGCGTTTGGCAAAGGAGACAAACCTGCAAGTTTTTTCCGACAGCTTTCTCGTCTAAATAAGCCGACAAAACCATTTAGCCAACCAAAAAAAAACAGGGACTGAGCTGTGGAATGAAAGATCAGAGCTTGAGAATGAGGCCAATGGGGCAATGATCACTGCCATTTACGTCCGGGAGAATATAAGAATCATGGACATCGTCTGCTATCGATTCCGATACCAGGAAGTAGTCCAGTCTCCATCCTGTTTGAACATACGGTTATGGTTTCAGCAAATGCGGTAATGATTCCACCAGAGAGAAAGATGTGATTGCATTGTTCATATATATATATATATATATACCTTTGTTGGTTTTGCGGCCGCCATGGCGGTAACCCCAATAGGTGTAGCCAACAACCTCAGGGTGTTGCCTTCTAAATGTATCGACGAAGCCTCTGTCCAAGAAGTTTTCATCGAAGGATTTCCTTTCTTCTATTGTAAACCCAGCACTCCTTTTGTTTCCCTGACATGGTTTGTTGAATCATGTAATGAAACAGGCAACTATTGGTTTGAAAAAGTGCAGTGTCCAGATAGATGGGGGGAAATATATAAACCGCGGGATTATAGATATCGATTTCTTCATGGGCACAGTTCAGATCGCCTGTCAAGATCACAGGCTTCGATTTTTCCAGCTCCTGTAGATAGATGCAAGTTATGACATAAGATTGTGAGGAATGAAGGAACAGATGAAATGCAGAAAATACAGAACAGAGATGGAAGATCTGTCTTTCTTACTTTCATGTAGTTGCTGAGGGATCGGTCCCACTCTTCGATCCTGTATGACTAGAAACCCCACGGCAAAACCACCAATTACTTTGCTTGATGACTAAAGTATGTAAACTGCAGAAATTAGATACATGTAAAGTCGATAATTACCAGTCTTTTCAGGCCATCTCCTGAGTTAGGGACGTAAGCACTTATCAAGTAGAACGAGTCAAATTCTGCAGTCACAATCCGGCCTTCCATGTCATGATCTGTTCCTGATGGGCCCATGCCATATCGAACTGAGAGTGGTTTTATCTGTCCAAAGAATCAAATTGATAAGAAAAACGATACTTTGCTATAACTTCGTTAAAGCCAACAACAAAATGATTAAACATATCAAATTAAACACATATGAAGATACAATCCCACAGAAAAATCCTTTCTTCTGGTTATCTGTAGTTCTTATTCAGTTAACCAAAGAATAGCAAAAACAGCAAGAGAACACTAGAAAGTAGAAACTCAAAGGAACAAGGCAACATACCCGTGAAATTATCGCTGTACCGGAATAACCAAGTCTCGAGACACTGCAGGACCAGAAACTATGGTCATATCCATCAATTAGAGTTTGCTTAATTTCCTCAGCATCCTTGGCCTGTATCAAGTGCAACAGATGCAATTAGTATAAGATGTTCTAAGCCTACTTTGACTTGCACTTGTGCCTGTCCATGCTCCTCCTAAATTTAACGAGCACCAGAAAACCCATAAACTTTTAGCAAGGGGACAAGGTAACTTGCATTCACCTGGAGCTTGGTCTCCTGCAAACATAGTATGTCGAAATTTTCCTGTCTGGCAAGCTGCAGGGCCGAGAAACTCTCTAACTTCAACAATGCCCTCAACCCGTTAACATTCCAAGTCACGAGTTTTACAAACTTCGTACCCTCTGGCAGAGGTGGAGGTCTCATAGTCTTGGGATTATAAGCAATCCACCCCTTCTGAGGCTTCTTATGGGCAAGTACAGTCCACGGCTCATTTGGGCTAGCTGATGAGATTTTTCCATCACCAGCCCTAATGATTTCACTAGAAATATTTGCCATCGACAACTGCTTACCTAAGGAAACATTATGCACACACAGATAGTGCTATACGATACTGAAATAGCACCAGCAAATATAATGTATTCACCAGTAACATGTATGAGACCTGTTCTCGTCAATGGCTTCTGTTCTTCTGAGACACCTTCCATCGAAAATTCCGCTTTCAACTTTTTCTCAGAAGACTGCTTTACTCTTCTCTTTCCTTGTTCATGGCTAATAACGCTCGCACCATCAGTAGTCTCTTCCCTACTCTTGACCTTTCTCTTGATGGATGTACTTTTAGAACGGGTCAACAAGGTAGTTTCTTCTGCTGCTGCGCCCGAAATTTCATCTGCAAACAGATATCAGTTTAAACCAACCTGAATCCACCAAATTCCAGTTCAAAGAAAACGTCAAACAGACAGCTCCCTGCCTAAATCCTCTATTCCCCTTCCCGAAGTAATCAGCAGTTGTTACAATTCAGATACTTAGCCTTCTGTTTCAAACAGCACAAGGAAATCGACAGCCAAATGCAGAAGAAATTCTGTTCTGTTCTTTTTTTTCTCTCGGGTAGCTAGCATGCTAGACAGGCTTCCGGTCGGTGTGCAGTCACATACCTGACACATTTCTGTCCATGCAAGAACGTAGAGCAGAGACAAGGTTTTGTTTGCGCCCTTTCGGAGGTAACCCAAGTCTCCTATAATTTTAAACCATGACAAAAAAACACACACATGAATCCTTCTGAACTGTAACAAGGGATAATGTCTTCAAAGCAAACCATAAAAGATAAGTAGACAAGCTGATTGCTCAATTTTCCCGATTCAAATGATGAACAGACATTTGGGTTTCTGCAGAACTCGAGAGCAGCCTGCAGAATTGACCTCAGAAGCCAATGGAGTCGAAAGCAGAAAACGAAGCAAAGAATAAAAGAAAGAGAAACTTTGCCTCAATGTAGCTCGAAGTTCTTGAACGGTCATAGCTTCGATATCCCGGTGATCACCCAGAACCGACCCCATATCTTCACTATGGTCATCACCTTCAATGCCCTAAACACCATCCACAAACTAGAAACTGAGTAAAAGAGAACAAATCACACGAACACCCCCACCCCCCAAAGAGAGCTATAAAAATTGAACCAGTCAACAGCAACCTTAGCATCAACCATCTCATGGGAATTTTGGTTAATGGCTGCTTCTACTTTGAGTTTCTTTCCCTTGTTATCGTTGGTAATGGAGGACATAAGCTTCGGCGCATTTGAAACAACTGTCTTCTTCAATGTCGTTGCTCCAATTCGCACACTAACGAATGAACCAGTCCTTATTCTCCTACAAGGCAACACCACAAACCTGGAGCCATTATCGGTTAAAAGAGAGATAATCTGGACACAAGCCGTAAGATTTCCGATTCAAACAGCAGCCCGATGACACACGGAGCCCAGAAAAAGTTAAAGCTGAAATGGAAGTGTGAAGGGTTGATTCTCCTCGTGTCGGTGGAACCGGATAAAGCAGAACAAGAAGAACCCTTAAGGTCGGAGAATGAACGTCGAGATGGAACCGAAACCCACGAAAAAGTCGAAGCAGCTAGTGATGAAACAGAGAGAGTACCTGGCGACATTGATAATGGAGTCCTGGAAACCTAACTGCAGGACTCTGTTCATCGACGATTGGGCAGAGAGAGAAGAGGGGTAAATCACTCAAATATACCTAAAGCATCGCACTCATTTGTCGGATACACCCAAAAAAAAAAATATAAGCCATTAATTTTTTTCGAAATGAACATATTACCCTTAATAAAACCGTATAATTATAATTGTAAAGTCGTTATAATTGATTCTAAATACAATTGCAATTGATTCTAAATGAAGTTGCAAAAAATACATCTAATTGTTTATCAGATCTTTAGTTGTTATATGATCGTAAATACTTTTTTAAGTTGTATACTAGTTATATAACACTCAGTAATAAAATCGTAAAAAATATGAACGAAAGGTTATTTCGGACTTTTTAAGGCCAAAAGTGGTATAGATTTAAAAAAAATTTGCTTTTTTTTTGGTGTATCCCTGAAATTTGTGCGAACACACATATGGTATATTTGAGTGATTTTTCCGAGAGAATAGCGACCCAACTAATGGATCGCGGCGTAAAATAAACACACTACGATATGGGCTTCTACAAAACACGTGTTCCGGTTTTATCCGGTGCGACTGACAGCCGCTTCGACGCTGCGTGTACTACACGCGCCGCCCGTGTTTTCCGTCCCAGCACAAGTAGATGACCCCATATAGTGTTATAGACTCTGATACATTGTGTCACCTTCTCCTTTGTTAAATCCATTGTGACAGTTGTAAAGGGTTCATATTTCATGAATGCCAGTTCATGTTTTGATCCAAAAGATGAAAACTTTGGGACCGTATCAGATCAAAGTTGCCAAAAGAAGGGGAGAGAGTGAAATGAAAACCTTTCTTAAAAGAGAATCAGAATGATCTTGCATTCTACATTGGTGTATATATGTATAAAACCAGGGACCTTCCAAAAGGGCCTGCTCTAGTGTTCCTCTTCCTCTGTAGAACCATTTCTATGTAATGTTAGCCTAAACCCGAAATCTTGCCAGAATGTACACCCGGAGAGCCAAATTCGTTCCCAAGGGAGGAAAGCTCTGTCTTCTCACTTCTCTAAACTCAAAACCTTTATCAAGAAAGCCAGCTCTTTAAGCACTTGAGGTTATGATTCACCCTCTGTTTCTTCTGAGCCGGGAGGTGATTGTGGTGGTACAGCTGATGCTTCCAATCCACCATCAAGATCGAATTCCAAAACCTTCCTGGCTGTTGCCTGAGAGAATTCCCGGGTTTTTTCCACGTTGGAAGAGTTGCTATGGTCCCTGGGGAGAGACATGTGAGCCGAGGCTATCACAGAGCTGAAGACACCGGCCTCTCTCAGCTCTCGGATTATAACCTGAAGAAAGGTGATAGCTTGAGAATGAAAACGAGTAGTTTGATAATCTCGGATGGAATATGTGTGATTCAGGCTGGGAGTAACTCACCATCGGTGCATAAATGCGGGTCAGAATCCCCTTCCTAAGAAGTTTCAGGGTCAATTTTCTGTCGGTCCATACAACTCGTTCTCTGTACCTGCAAATAGGGAAGCTCATAAGATCTCTTGCAGAGAAAGAACATCAAGAAGACGGCGAAGTTTCTACTTTTCAGAGTCTTGAGTCTATGTTACTACCATTGAAGCAGCTCCTCTTCTGATGCAGTGGAAGCAATGATGAATGCCTGCGAAAACATGTAATAACCATAGCTGTTTAATTGTAGCAAACAACTTATCAACAGTCAAAAGGGACCATCCGTACTCACAGCTCTATCAAATTCCAGCATGAAACATCTCTTGACATCCTCTTTAGTCGGTTTGCAGCCACAACGATCACGTCTTGAAATGAGATCAGAAAATTTGGGGTAAGTATAGTGCAGGACAGCGGCTTCATCTAGTTTTATCTCACTGCAGAAAAATTACGACACACATCAGCCATATTACCAACTTCCAAAATGGAGAGATGATTGAAATAGACCAGCACGAGACATTTAACGAAGTAAAAGCATACATATACAAACGTCTGCCATACAAGCATATACCTGAATTGAACGTTGATATGCAAAGAAAACCCATGACAGATACAAGTGAAAAAAAAAAATATGCATGTCTAAACCAGATTGAAGGAAAAATACTCGGGGCTCTTCATGTAGTTGTGCCACCGATGAGCACCATTGGGGCGAAGATGGTCCTGAATTCGAGCAGCTGATTTCCCATTTCCGTAGGTCAGAAAATAGTTTGGATTTCCACGGGTGGACTCTTTATAACTTCCAAAGTAAACATCGTTGGGAAGATGGTCATAGTTCTTCTTGAACATCGATACCTGCATCAAAGTGAAGTGGACAACAAAAGATGGTGTTAAAATCCATAGATGAGAAAAAAACACGGAGAAGAGAAAAATGCTTCGGACCTCACTGAAAGGTTCCTTGATGTCATCTCGCTCAACACTGCTCTCCTGAAACATGGACGATGATTGTTATATATATATGTATATATACTAGTTCTCTTGAATCTCTCTTAAACTCACGTAATTTGGGAAGATGACTTGATCCACGTTTGCAGGAACATTCCCGAGCAACTGCCTCAAAGAATATTCTTGGGTTCCAGAAGGATGTATAAGCTCATCAGTGTCGAGATGGATTATCCAGTCCATGCCAGCATCCTACATTACGGAGCGGAAAATGGAAATGCGGGTGAATGTGTGACAGTTGCCAAATTTAGATTTTCTGCTCATGGTTACTAGATGCAGTATCTTTCTATTAAAAAATTCAGCAATTACCCTCGCCATGGTGATTGCCATTTCCATATTCAGAGTTTGTTTCACGAATAGCTCGTAGTTACACGGCTTGTAGAAGAAGCTCGCCAGCCAGGTCTCGTTCCATATCCGGCTACAAACCAAAGGTAAGGAAACATTACCCGACTAGATTTACAGATGCGGATGAAACACACACACACATACAAAGATATACCAAAAAATAGTAGATTGATTAGATTACAACACGTCAAATTCTGTAGCAGGAAACAAGAACAAAGAACCCCAGAAATAGGGCAACATTCGAAATTCTTACCACAATAATCAGAATGCAACCAACCACATTAAACCCATCTCAAACCTTTTTTAACTCTGCCAAAAAAAATTGATGCCATTCCCGGCATGTTGGTTCATCCGATTCTCTAGACAATTCTAACCCAGAAATTCACAACTAGAGTACATTCCATGCACAGAATTTTCTCAAGATAAAGTGATTTTCTATCTAATAAAGTGACTTTCTAGCCAAAGATATGCAGAAAGGTGGACGCCATGATACCTTTTAGCCTGCTGTTCTTCCAATTCTTTGCTTCTGTATATAACTTTCACACCCTTTAACAAAAATAAAACTTATAAGACGATTAGAAAAACGCAGAGGTCTAAAGCCAGAGTGAGAGGAATCACAAGCAGCCAAATGTAATGAATGAGGCAAAAGCTCCATAGCTGACCGAGATGGTTTCAAGAACTCGTGATACATTTGAACTTGCAGCCTTCCCCTCGACAAATAGATAAAAGGTTGAAACTCCAATAGTCTTGTGAAAGAAAATCCAAGGCAGTGTCTGCTCTAAGCCAGCAGAAGTGCTCGTAGTAATACATATCTGCCATAAATAACAACATTGAACACCGAAAAACAGGCAGAAAGTCGTCATTTTCACCAGTTCAGAATCCTGATTCCATGCCCAAAATCAAATGCCACCATGGGAGGATAAACGATGAACCTCAGGCCAGAGAGGGACTCATCCTAAGATTATTAAACAACGTAAATTGCCAAAATTTCAACAAACTGGCTTCTAAAAGACGGAATTTTCCTATGAATCAAGTCCTAACCAGTTTCGGTTTCTTCATACATGACTCTGGTTAGGCACAAGCCATGATATCTTACAACTTCTACACTCAAGGTGAAAAAGAACAACAATTTCGTGTTTTTTCTTACACCCACGTGAGAGTAATGCAGAAACAAAGGATCCATCAATGAAACCGATCAACTGGATCGGCATCATCTGGAAGCCAAAGGATACATTCGTACGAGCAAATGTGTTGATCGCAAAAGATCGAACCACGCAAAAGAAGAAAAAAAAAAACTAAACAAGAAACCATAAATCTCGAACCCAATCGGACCAAAGAGACCTCACCCTAGGTTTCAGATCCGACCCGTAATCGAACTTCGAGTCCCGGAAATACGGAAACGAAGGGGAACGGCTCTGACCCAGAATATTTGCGCAACCCGAATCAGAGCTCGAACTGCGCAGCGAGCTTTTCTCGGAGACGGAACCCATTCCTGGGAACTCATGGCGATCAGGAGACCACCGGGTAATCGGGTCGTTTAACCCGCCTCGCCATTGGAGGATGAAGGCGAAGCAGGCGAGGGTTAGAGGAAGAAGGGTCAAGAGGAAAACGAGCCGAGAGAAAGACGATGAAGAAGACGGAAGGAGCCTCGAGGAAGAAGAAGAAGAGTGCAGACCCGCCATGCGAGAATGCGCAAGGAAAACGGCAGATTAATAGAACAGAGAAAAAATCCCGAAGGTGTATGAAGGTATATATATACCTATGTATGTATCTATATGTGTGGGTGTAGAGGTGGGAGGGAGATGACGATACTTGAAACCGAAGGACCCTGAATGGCTCTCATAAAATTGGAGAGGGAGCCGTTTGTCAGTTGGTCTTTTTCTTCCTTTTTTCTTTTTTATATTCTTGGATAAATATTTCATATTAAAATTAAAAAATCCAATGAAATTATAATTAAATTATCTAATAATTCTTTTATCAAATACGATTGGAAAATAATTTGGTATCAAAATTAATGGGAAACCCTTTTTCAAACGTTGCCTTTAATTTCCTGCCAAAAGAATATTCAAAAGAGCATTTAATTTTAAATGCAAAACTGACACAGTAATTAGATCTTTTTTGGTAACGTTGATTAATTTTAGCTTTGAACGAAAAAAGTAGGGGGAGAGATTAGGGGATTAAAGTATCTGCCAAACCCTAATTAAATGACAAAATAGCTAAATTAAAAAAATGCCTTAAATTAAGATTCGGACAAGTCATGTGGTTTTATGACGAATTTGTCCACTAAAGTAATTGGAAAAAAAAAAGCATATATACACGTATAATGCTGATGAGGAAAAAACAAACTAAATGGAAAAAGCTTTGCTTTATTTGTATCCTCATTTTTTTTCCCTAAATTATAAAAAAAAAAATTGCAAAGCCCTAAATGAGCAAAAGGCACATGTGCATGGACATAGTTGGATATGGGACAAATTGAAAAATAATAGATTCCGAATCCGAATAGTTTGGATTTTAGAATTTAAAAGGATACTTAGTAGATGTCCAAAATGTTTGACACGAGAGCAAGGTAAAAGATGAGACCATTTGGTTATTATATTAAGTTTCGAAAAATATTTATTTTGTTAAAAAAAAAATCAGGTTTTTCGGGATTTTTTAATATTCGATTCGGTTCCGTAGGTTTATTCAGTTTTTTAAAAGAATAAGCGTTTGAGATTTCTTAAGAGTTCGGTTCGGAGGCAATATTGATTTTTTTATTCGATCTGTTTCAGATCTTCCGGATCGAATCTAAACGCACACCCCTATTTAAAATTAGATATTTCGTGTAAATACCTATAAAATTATCAGAATACCTGTAAAATCAACCAAAATCAATGAAATTTCATTACAAAAAAAAAAATCAATGAAATTTCAGAAACTTTTGTGTCCGTGTACCTGATTTTAACTGCGGATAACCGGGTTGCGACTTGCGAGTACCGTGTCTCATGAGACCGAGACCGAGACAATACCCTCAAAAAGAAAATCCACGAGAACGAGACGGAGGTCCGGTACCAAAAAGCTCGAGTACCTGCACACACACACCCTACTCGCAGCGACTAAAATGCATCGCCCGATCGTCTGAGAGCGATATGAGCAGCGACGAGAGGTCGGATATTCCCGTCCAAGACAGAGTTCAGGTCGGGAATCTCCATACCCGTTTTCATATCCAAAACCATCTTGTGAGGCTTACAGACATATCTCCTTGCATTCTTGGCCTCCATGTCTGAATCTGATAAATAATGCTCCTTGGCTATCACAAGGAGCTTGGCCTTTAGCCGGTTAAGGGCTTTCATCTTATTCGCAAACCAGCTTCTTTCACCTGTGTTAGATCAATATGAGGCACCTTTAGATATTAATATATATATATATATATATATATCTCATCTAAGATGAATCTATGTATCCATTGGCATTAGGAAAAGAGGTTTATGGACTAAAAGAATGAGAAAAAAATACCTGAAGACTCGACGGCTATTCCAGTTGGAAGATGCTGAATCCGAACCGTCATCTGTCCATGTCTTCTCTGAAGATTCTCCTTTGAGGAATATGATACAACAATATCCCCGTCGTTTACTCGCAAATCCGGATCCGTTCTGAGGAATAAAGGAACCACGTCCACCGAAGCTGAACATACCTGGCAAAAGTTTCCTTAAATGCTTTATATGGAAGAAAGTGAATTTCAAAAACCGTGTTCTTAAGGTAATAAATACCTCATCAGACATGGAATCAATACGAGATCTTTTGATAAGGCGGTGAATGCCTCGTTCGCCCAAGAGATAACCGTAGGCATACTCGAATTCGAATTCTATGGAAGCTGAATTGACACCTTTGCTCGAGAAGTGGAAATTGTCATCGAAAACCCTTGCTTTTCGGCCTAGCTTTTCAGCCCATTTGGTGTACATCCTGACAAGTCGCTCTGCCCATATCTGCAAGCTGGGGAGTTTATCGATGAAATAACCAAGGCACGAGCCAGAATGAGCAAGCGAGATATCGACAGCTTTGCCCGACATATATTAGGCCTATGCTCGGTTACTAGGCTTTGAATATCTAACAATGAAACGAAAGAGAAAACAAAGCTGAAAGTGCCATTCGTGCCTTTGATAGGACTACCATATACTATGTCAATTGACATCATACCCTCATTTCGTGGAGAAATAATAGTTTGCCCATTAGTCAAATGCTATAACTATGAAGTGAAAGAATGGTGAAATGACCTGAGAATTTGCATCTTCAGACCCAGCTTTGATAATCATGCATGCACCTTCGCTGTCATATCGGTCTCTAAGAAGCTTAGACATCTCATAGTGATGCAAGGACGTGCCCACATCCAGAGAAGAGTCATATGCTTGCTCAAAGAGACCGTAATCGATAGCATCCATCTCTGCCAGCTGCGTGATTAGTTTTGCTTCTTCAGCCTAACAATAGAATAAACGAAATCGATCAATTCTAGCCAAAAAACCATAACATAAAAGATGACAATAATGATCACTGTTTTAACATAGGAACCTTGTATTTCAGGTCTTTGAGGGCATCAACTGCTCTTTCACTGTCGGCCAACTTCAGAAGGATCTCGTTGGATTTGGCCGGATCATCCCATAAGTCATAGTCACGCATCATCTCTTCTTGTTTTACCCATCGCTCTTCCTCGAGCTCAAGAGCAGTTGGGGCCAACATCTCAGCTCTGAGAACAGCATCTTCAATCTTCCTCTTCAGTGAAAACATTCCTAAGGACATTGAGTAAAGATCAGATACACGCTTAATATCTCTTTAATATATATATATATATATCTTGAGAAAACACTGATCAAGATGCTCAATTTTAAGACTTGGACACAACCCCTGTCACAATCTTAACACTCCCTAGCTTCTCCTCGGAACAAAGGGTCACAACCTTAAAATCAAACCCAGTGGAGTCGAAGATATAGGAAATGCTATCATCTGTCGTAATGTCTCAACAGAGCTTATCGAACTCGGTAGCTCCAACCACAATCTGTACCCTCTTCCACTTAGATGCCACCATCACAATCTATCAATGCGACCATTCTACGGATAGAGTAACACAAAGAGCATAGAGAAGAGACAAATACAGATCGAGAGTGTTACCCAGTTGCTTGTAGACGGTGTTCTTGTCATCCATGGAACCAGAAGCTCGAGCTGTGAAATGCAGAAGCCGAGGTGGTCTTCTCTTCCCCAACTCTCTAGAAAATCTCCGCCATGCCAGTCCTTCCCCTCCTCCGATTCTTCCGCTTGTAAGCTCTGCCGCCATCTTTCTCCGGAATTTCTAAGCTTGTTTGTCCGCTCAGCACTAAACAGTAAAGGGCATAGTTATGAATCATGAGCTAGTCCACGTAATGGGTATTTGCCTCACCACAACCTTATCCTTAGATTCTGTCCGAATTCGGGTTTCTAAGACTTCCACGTCGGGCGTCTGGTGAGAGATTTTACCACGCCAAAAGAGTTACCGTCGCATCAAGGTAAAATGCTTTGTGATATCGAGACTCAATTCGTCGGGTAATAAACCGGATCAAACCGACTCGATCTCTATATCACAAAGATAAGATTTGGCAAAGGCTTCATCCATCGTCGCTCGGAATGAGAAGCAGAAACGTTTGCTACACATTTCGCCAGTGACACCTAGACATTCCAGATTCTGTATTCATCTCTTTCCTCGCTACAGATGAAAGCAATCGAACCCAGTCACATAAACAGCGATATCGATAATCGCATCGGCTATTAGCCAAAAATATACTCATTTAACTAGACCCACAAATTTGAACATATAGAAATACTCCCCAAACAACATCACCACACATTGAAATGCAACAAAGGTGAGGAATACCCGGGAAAAAACACAGATCTAGACGAAAATGAGATTTCAACTCTGTCGTGTCTGGATAGAGAGATCTGGAAGCCATTCGGGCCAGATTTGGAGGTGATCTTCTCACCTTCCAGGCAGCACAAAACTCGAGCAGAGCCAAAATTAAGAATATTACAGAAAATTGAATATTCTTCGATTCTTGCATCATGATTTCTAGGTTTTCACCAATCGGATAGAGAGAGGACTTCGCCCGCGATGCTCTCTCTGGAGCCATTATGATTTTCAAAGCGAGGATTTCAAAACAAAAATTACAAAGGTGAGGGGGACAAGTTTAAATAGATGGGAGAAAGCCGAAAGGATATTTGTGTAATTAATCTCTAGTTTCGGGGTGAAAAAGGGAATTAAAAATTTTATTCTCCCTAATACGCAGCGTTTTGGGAGCCTTAATAATATCATCTTCTCCACCATCGAGCCAGAAGAAAAGCGCAGGAGAAAGCTATAGCGCTTCATCGTCGCTTTCTTCATTCGTTTGTTTCGTCGGAAATCAGACTAATACTGTCGGAGAAATGGTCGTTTTGATATCTACTGCTACGTCTGCAACGACAGCCTACGGTGCGAACCCGAAGCTTCAAGACGAGAGTTTTCGCATTTACCGGTGGAAACCCAGATCGGAAGTTCCATTTTTCTCAGGTAATTCGCAACTTACTGCCCAAACCCAGAAATTTTTTCGTGTTTCATCTGAAGGGTTTTTAGAAACAGCTCAACTTTTTTCACCAGGATTGTGTGGCAAAAAGAAGAAACGTGAAGTTCCCATTTTGTGCTTAGCGGTGAAGAACGACTCAGTTGTTCAATCAGAGGAGAAGATAAGAGGAAAATTTATGCCGAAGAGAATGAATGATCGTATCTTGAGTGAAGGGAGGGATGACGATGAGGAGCTTGGGCGGCCAATATGTCCAGGTTGTGGGATTTTTATGCAGGACGAGGACCCGGATTTGCCCGGTTATTATCAGAAGAGAAAGGTCGCTGAGCAGAAGCTGGAGGATGAGGAAGAGGAGGAACACATCGAAGGTGAGCTTGATGGGTATGGATTGGATGGTGAAGTAGAAGAAGCAGAGTTAGACAATGGAATCAATGGCATAATGGAGGAAAGTGAGGGAGAGGATGCTAAATCTGAAAGTGAGGATGAATTTGACTGGGAATCGGATGAATGGGAAGCTATGTTGGAGAATGAAGAGGATGATGGTGAATTAGATGGTTTTGCTCCGGCCGGTGTTGGGTATGGTAATATTACGGATGAGGTAGTTGAGAAGGCAAAAACAAGAAGGCTCTCTAAAGCAGAGAAGAAGAAGATGGTTAGGGAGGAAGCAAGTAAACAGAGGGATGGTGTGACAGTGTGTGCTCGTTGCCACTCTTTGAGGAACTACGGCCAAGTGAAGAATGAGAAGGCGGAAAATCTGATACCCGATTTTGATTTCGAGAGGTTGATCTCAACCAGATTGATAAAACCCGCAAGTAACGCAAGTGCCACTGTCATAGTCATGGTTATTGATTGTGTTGACTTCGATGGTTCATTCCCAAAACGAGCAGCAAAGTCTCTGTTCAAGGTGCTGCAGAAAGCAGAAAACGACCCCAAGCTTAGCAAAAAGCTCCCAAAGCTTGTTCTTGTAGCAACAAAAGTCGACCTTCTCCCCTCACAGATCTCACCTACTCGGTTAGACAAATGGGTGCGGCAGCGTGCAAAGGCTGGAGGGGCACCTAAACTAAGTGGAGTGTATCTGGTCAGTTCACGTAAAGATGTGGGCGTCAGAAACTTACTGGCTTACATCAAAGAATCGGCCGGTCCACGTGGAAACGTGTGGGTAATTGGAGCTCAGAATGCGGGCAAGTCTACCTTGATCAATGCTTTATCTAAAAAAGAAGGCGCAAAGGTCACAAGGCTGACTGAAGCTCCAGTTCCCGGAACAACTCTCGGGATATTAAGGATTGGTGGGATTTTGCCCGCAAAGGCAAAGATGTACGATACACCTGGCCTTCTTCATCCGTACCTTATGTCCATGAGATTGAATCCGGAGGAGCGGAAAATGATAGAGATAAGGAAGGAGCTTCAACCTCGGACGTACAGAGTGAAGGCAAGTTAGCTGTTACCCTCTCTTTTATCTGAAAGTTTCTGGCTTTTATCCATATTTAGCCATGGATGAACAGGAAATGGATGTGTTCTTAAAACCCACCAACAATAGAACTAAAAATCACACATTTGAGCTTCTTTGTAAAGAAATTAAATGTTGCATGGCTGCATATACTGTAGAGGCAGCAACTGTTTTAACGGTTTCAGAGGTATATTACAATGTTCGAGTTTGATTTCTCATTCAAATTCACCTGTTTCTTAGTCGCTTTGTCAGTAACAAGAACTAAACCAGTGCAGTTGATTTGTGGCTTTGCATCTGGAACTTGCAGGCAGGGCAATCTGTGCATATCGGTGGACTGGTCAGGCTGGATCTTGTCCAAGCTTCCGTACAAACAATATACATAACAGTATGGGCATCACATAGTGTTTCCTTACATCTCGGAAAGACAGAGAATGCGGAGGAGATATTCAAGAGCCACTCTGGTCTACGCCTACAGGTAACCTTACATAGCTGCAACTTCTCTTCAACCCCATAGTTCATTTTTAAGACCACAACCTAATCCAGTTATTGTCTTAGCCACCAATTGGAGCGGACAGAGCATCTGAAATGGTGGGCGAGTGGCAAGAGAAAGAGATTCAGATGTCGGGAAATAGCTGGGACGTGAAGAGCATCGACATTGCAGTGGCTGGTCTGGGATGGTTCTCGCTCGGTCTCAAGGGTGAAGCCAAGCTGGCCTTGTGGACGTATCAGGGCATCGAAGTTACACTGAGAGAACCATTGGTTCTTGACCGTGCGCCATTTCTCGAACGGCCTGGTTTCTGGCTGCCCAACACCATCTCCGATCCCCTCCTTGGCAACCGTTCTAAGCTTGACGAGGCTCGGAAGAAGAAAAAGCAGAGAGACAATACAGATTTTCTCGCGGAGATTTCTCCATGAAACAGCTCATAGAGCTGAAACTGAGAGTGTTCATGAGCAGGATGAATGGAAATGAACATCTTTTTTCTCATTTCATTTGGAATTTTACATTTTTTTTTTTTGTTTACATTTTGGGAATGGGAGAGAAATCTGAGAATGAACAACAGTAGGATACAAGGTTTTACAGCTTGGACAGAGCATAACTACAACAGGTACAAATCTAAGGTACAACCAAACTAATGGAAAGCTCAGTTACCTCAGCGAGGCTGGTGGATGTTACGGGGACTGCACCTAGGGTTCACCCACTTTGCTGGCTTCTCGAAATACTTGGCTGGTTTTGCTCCCGATTTCGGGCTTCCGCCTTCAAGAGATTTCAGATAGCCAACCACGCCAGCATCCTCTACCAGCCCTGATGTATAAACCATGAAAATAATTAGGAATTTTGGATGAGATTTGTCGAATCTGGTTCATGAATTCAACTATCATTGGAAATTCGAAGCCTTACCGACATCAGATGATGGATGGTAAAATGTACCCTCGGATTGAAACTCGAACTCAGCAGCGTCAGGGTCGAAGAACTCATCAATGGCATCGAACTCAAATGATTCAGGCAGCAGATCAACTACATCTATGTTGCCATTGTCACCATTGTCGTAGAAACCGTCCTCGCCCTGGTGCTGGCTGATCCAGTAGTCATGGTACCAGGGCGAGGTCGTGACCAGTTGCCACCACTCGGGAGAGAAATCCTCCACCTGCTGAAGAGCGGCAGGGATGAAGAGCGGTGCATCTGGGTTCAGTGTGGATCTTCTTCCTGAAATGAGCGCCATTTCCTTTGTTGTCGGTTTTCAGACTCGGGTTGTTCTAGATCTGTACAGACAGGAACTGAGATCAGCGTAATGGACAAAGACCAAATTCACATCTCAGATCCATTAGAAAAGACTGTTACTTTGAAACAAGGAACATATCGGAGACATAATCTGCAAACAAACCCTATCGGAGTCAAAATCGGACAACCCAAACACTAAGGTCATAACGATGACTATGAACTCGCGATCGAGCGATCGAGCGACATGAATTTGCGCTAAAACCCGTGATCAACATTCTGAGATAAAGCTGATCGCTGGGATTTGACTAAGTATACAACTTGACCGTCGGGCAAGATCTGAAGAGTTTCCCCTTCCTCGATCTCGAATATCCGTAGAAATCAACTCATTAACGAATCAGAAAGGTCAAGACAAGTAAAATCCACAACTCCGAACAAGATCGACGATAAGAGCAGCGGGGGATAGCACGACCACTTCAAATTTCTTCTAAATTCCCAGAATTTTCTCGGTGACCAAACAGATCCATCAAAATCCATGAAATTCAAACATTCAACTTCAACAAAAGATCATCTTCTCGAGTACACACATTCATCCAACAGAGAGAAACACGTAAAGCGAGAACTTTACCTTAGCCGAGACAAATTTTTCTCCCTTTCTCTTCCAATAAAGAAATCGTTCAAGACGCGAGGGGGGTTTATATACAGAAAGAAAAGGAGGTTCGGGTCCGAACCTGAGGTCGGGGAACCCGGGGTCAAGATAATTTAGGGGAAACAACAAGTGGGTAGATGTGGGCCCGAACGTCCACGCGGAAGCGCGTTACTGTTGGCTTCGTTTGACTTTCCTCGTGCTGGCTTATAACAGAGCATAAAACAACATATCATCAAGTGAACTAATTATGCGTTTATAAAGCCATTAAATTTAATTTAAATTGATAATTATACTTTCTGTCTCTGGTCCTTAATGGCTCATTTATTTTTCTTTTTTTTATTTTGTTTTTTGCTGATACAATATGCATATATATGTGCTTGCATGGCAGATACGCACCATATATATATGCTTCGCTTATAAAATGATATTTTCTCGCGGAATAACTCATTACCATTGATCTTGTATAACTCAAGTTCCATTCTCTCTCTCTCTCTCTCTCTCTCTCTCTCTCTCTCTCTAAGTTTGATAAGAAGAAGCTCAAAGTCAATTTTATTACAGCAACTGCATATGAACAGACATGAACAAGAAAGACACACACATATACTCGAATGTGATGGCATCAACACGTAAAAAAAAACAGAAAGAGATTATACGGAAACACAGAGAGAATCATGGGTTTCAAAATGGAAGAACCAAAAAGATCAAAAACGCTTTTACACTTTATCATCGCTGATCATCATCTTCGGCTCTGAAAGAATCAGACAAGACGACACCTTTCCCGTCCCTACCGACATGTTTATGCACGGAGACCGACTGATCGCTCGTGTTTTCACCACGTGTAGATGTTACAGGAGAAGCGTCATGATCGTCAAGAACTCGGTCCCGTTTCTTGATCTGCAACGGAAGCATGACGGGCTTTTGATTCGTCGGAGGTACGGTCGCCGTACGAGAGGGTCGCGGATAGAAGAAGTCGGTGGGGAAGAAGTTGTACTGAAGACCGGCCACGATCATTGGGCTCTATGTGTTAAGAATCTGATATGGGTTTTTTTTTCTTTAATTCTGTGTGATTTTAGGGTTTGAAGAAAAATGTTTTGTTGGGGGCTTTATTTATAGATAGACTGTACGTTCATGAGAATCTGGGGCAATCAAGGGGTGTAAATGGCACATTGGAAAATGTTGGGGTCACTTTTTTGAAAAACTTTTTGCCCTTTCTGGTTCTATTGTTTTCGCATCTCTTTTGTGTGCCAGTTAAACAACGAATTAATATAAAATATCGAGTAATTTTAGGTTTTTTTTTTTTTTTTAAGCAAACCATAATATAACCGTATTTTCAAAATACAATTCAAACCCGTGGACCGGAAATGGAGCTAGTTTCAATTAAAAGTCAACCACATAAAAGTCAGATTTTTTACTAAAATTTATTTCTATAGACACGTGTTGAAAAAGTATACAAGAATATCATTCATTCTAGAATATAGAATTTAAGTATTTTGGGGATCCTAGAATAAATTGGACCGGATTTTTCTGCTACTTTTCGGACCACCAAGAGATCCTGTGTTTGTGTCGCGTGAGCCAAACGCAGTTTAACCATGTGTTAGAATTATTTATTCAAAGGAATATAATGCATTTTCTAAAACAATCAATAATAATATTATATATTTTTCTATTGCATTCTTACACTCTTTTTGAGTCATGGTGAATATCTTTTTTTTAAAATAAAAGATAATAAAAAAATGTACCGTATAATCAATTGTCATAACCAAAAAAAGAATATACACATAAGAACAACAAAATGGTTGATTTTGGGTATAAACTATAATTATTTGTTTAGATTCATAAAAATATCCATGAATAGATTATAAAACTATGAAAACCATATTTGATGAAATGGGGGTGATGGGTTGAAGGATCATTTAAAATATTGGGTTTAATTGAAAAAAAATATCACATTTCCTAGTTATTTTATTTCTGATATGATATGTTATGGGTCCATATTAAGCCTATAATAGTTTTTTTGCAGGCCCATATTAAGCCCAATATATTGAAAAGCATATCCCCTCTGTTTCTTCTATCTTCGGAAAATGATACTTAAAACCCTAAAACCCCTGAGTTTTTAAATCGCCATTTCTTCAGTCGTCTGCCATTGCTCGACGACACCTTCCACAAACATCAAAAGCCCTCGGAAAACCCTAAATCCGTAGCAACCATGTCGGAGGTCGAAATCTCCCTCTCGGAGAAGAAGAAGAACAAGAAGAGGTCTGATGCTCACGCCGAGGCGACGCCGAAGACGACGGCGGAGAAGGATGCCGCCGACGCCGGGGACTTCATGATCAAGCCGCAGAGCTTCACTCCCGCCATCGACACGTCCCAATGGCCCATCCTCCTCAAGAACTACGACCGCCTCAACGTTCGGACCGGACACTACACTCCTCTCCCCTCCGGTTTCTCCCCACTGAAACGTCCCTTGCAAGAGTACATCAGGTACGGTATCATCAATCTCGACAAACCCGCGAACCCTTCTTCTCACGAGGTCGTTGCTTGGATCAAACGTATCCTCCGTGTCGAGAAGACGGGTCACAGCGGAACCCTTGATCCCAAGGTCACTGGGAATCTCATTGTTTGCATCGACCGAGCTACACGGCTCGTGAAATCGCAGCAAGGGGCGGGTAAAGAGTATGTCTGTGTTGCTCGTTTGCACTCTGCTGTTCCAGATGTTGCAAAGGTTGCTAGAGCTCTCGAAACTCTCACTGGAGCTGTGTTTCAGAGGCCCCCTCTAATCTCTGCCGTGAAAAGACAGCTTAGGATTAGGACAATATATGAAAGCAAGCTGCTTGAGTATGATGCAGACAGGCATTTGGTTGTGTTCTGGGTTTCCTGCGAGGCAGGTACGTATATCAGGACAATGTGTGTCCACTTGGGTCTGCTTCTAGGTGTGGGTGGGCATATGCAGGAGTTAAGGAGGGTGAGGTCCGGAATCTCGGGTGAGAGAGACAACATGGTCACAATGCATGATGTGATGGATGCACAGTGGATGTACGACAATTATAGGGATGAAACTTACCTTAGGAGAGTCATTATGCCTCTTGAAGTGTTGTTGGCTAGTTACAAGAGGCTTGTCGTGAAGGATTCCGCTGTGAATGCCATTTGCTACGGTGCTAAGCTGATGATTCCCGGTCTGTTGAGATTCGAGAACGACGTCGAGGTCGGTGAAGAAGTTGTTCTCATGACGACTAAAGGTGAGGCGATAGCTATAGGGATAGCCGAAATGACAACAGCTGTGATGGCTACTTGCGATCACGGGGTGGTGGCTAAGATAAAGAGAGTGGTAATGGATAGGGACACGTACCCGAGGAAGTGGGGATTGGGGCCGAGGGCTTCGATGAAGAAGAAGCTTATCAGCGAGGGGAAATTGGATAAGCACGGTAAACCAAACGAGAAAACGCCCCAAGAGTGGATGAGGAATGTGGTTCTGCCGCCCGGTGGGGATGCTATGGTTGCTGGGATTGCCGCTGCGCCGGAAAAGAAAACCCCAGCTGTGGAGGAGGAGGAGAAAAAGGAGGATGAGAATGGTGAAGGCGGGGAAAAGCGCAAGCGTAAATCAGATGAAAGCAGTGACAGCGGCCGTGCAACTGTCCCAGCTAAGAAATCAAAAACCAAAGAAGCTGAAGCAGGAGAGAAAGTTAAGTCAAAGAAGTCAAAGGAGGAGGGAGAAGAGGAGGAAGCTGGATCTGACAAGAAGGAGAAGAAGAAGAAGAAAAAGAAGGATAAAGGAGACAGAGAAGAGGAGGAGACAGAGAAGGTGAAGAAGAAGAAGAAGGAACACAAGATCAAGGAAAAGGAAGAAGATGAGTCTTCGCCCAAATCCGAGAAGAAGAAGAAGAAGAAAAAGAAGAGCAAAGAGACCTGAAGCTATTACTAATGGCGAAGATGAATCATCTGCAAGAGAAGAGCGAGAAGAAGAAGAAGAAGGACAGAGATCATGCAGGTGGAGAAAGAGTGAGACCAAAGGCAATATTCCTTTCGTTTACGTTCCTTTCTACAACATTTGTGCTTTATTTAGTACATGCAATGCAACGATGATGAGGCCCGGTCCAATTGAATTTTAGGGCTTCGTAATTGGGCCTTTTGGGCTTTCTTCACGTTACAAGTCCAGCCCGTCTTCTGTTCAAGTTCACGTGGCCAACATCAATCAATCGCTGCTTCTAGGAGTCCGTTTTCTTGCAAGCAAAAACGGTGACAGAAATTGAGATGCTCTCTCTCTCTCTGTATATATGTAATAGCACAAGTTTCCTCGGATTTCCAAATTCAGCAAGCTCCCGGAGATTAGGGATTGATTGCCATTGCCGTTTCTGTCCCTTTGCAAATCTAGGCTCTTTATTCCTAAAAATAAAAAACAAAAAGACAAATAAAAAAGGTAAATCATCGGAGCATGTAAAACTCCGTGTCGCTATCTCATTATCACCTTCGGCA